AATACAAGTGTGGTGACATGGGACCAGGGCTGGCACTCGTGTAAGGCTGCATAGGCAGGCGCCTGAGGGTGCCGGGTGGGGGGAGGGAACATGTGTAGGCATAAAATCCTTGCACTGGCCCTGGGCCCCCTCTGCTTTATGTCCGCCTCGCTCTAGTACATTTTTAAGTATAGTTTGCATTTTTTTTTCATTATGGGTGTAAGTGGGGGCCTCAAGTTTCAGTTTTGCCTAAAGCCTCACAATGTCTAGAGCCACCTCTGCCCGTACTACGAACATGGATGGAGGAACAGTCTATAGGAGCCAGAGCACTGCATTTGGCAGCTCCAGCTACAAATCCTATAAGGCGTTGCAAGATTCTCACAGCCACAGGCATGACTCCCAGACTTGTAGTACCACGACAGCTGGAGTGCCGAGGTGCCTACCCCTGCTTTAGATAATCATATTTCAAAAAGGAGTCAAAAACCCTTTATTTACAAATTACTCTAGGCTACATTTGTTTCTTCATATGTGTCCTAAAAAAAAATAGAAAGTCATATAGCATTAACGAGAAATAAACAACAAAATAGTTTTAGTTTACAAAGAAAAATGGATGTCAAAATCTGTTTTTATCCAGCATAACGAACAGTTAATATACAGAATGTCAGCATGGATCACGAAGTGGCAAAAGGTGAGAAAACAGGCCTCACATTCAGACGTGGGGTCAGAACGATGACCTCACAAGCGTGTCACTCCTTCACGTGGCACTCCATCCAAAGAACAGTTACAATGATAGATTTACAAAGAGACCCGGGAAGGATGCCAGAACAAGACAAAGTATTTTTTTTTTTCTAATCCAGTGTTGGCAGCTAAAACATGAGGTAACTGATCCATTAGTCCTAGTCTATTGGTCTCTCTCCCTCTCTCATATCTCAAGTGAGGTGATTCTAATTAAATGAATCTGCATGTCAATCTATCGGTGATCAATCAAACGAAGCCCGCATGCCCTCCCTCCTCGGCAGCTGGGAGCTGGCGGCTGACATGAGCTGATAATGGAGGAAAAAGTGCACTGTCTAGCAAAGTTAATTAGTCAACATAATAGGTGGATTATAGAGGGGACTGAGGAAATGGCAAGGCTGCGTGTGTTAGTACAAAAGTGCCAGACAAGGTTGCAATTAACAGACAATAATTATATTTGGGTGTAAAATGAATAAACACATCTCAGAGGGCCTTCACAGAGAATACAAAAGGAGAAGTAGGAAGCAAGTGGGTAGGCCTCAGCCCTTTATCAAAGTATTTTATGTCATGGGTCCAAATGTCAGATTTACTCAAGATTCACCATTAATTCACAGACAAATTGTCTACCTGATCTATAACGTACATTTGCCAGTCTACTTTTAAGTTGTTTATTTTAAGATGTTTATTTTTCGGCTTTTTTTGGAATTTGTTTTTAAATACAATACAATACCGTACTATACAGCACTGTGACATTATTACAATGTTACAACAACAACTCCCTAATAAATGGGTGGGAGCAATAACAAAAGACATAGGGGCTGATTTATAAATCTTCCTCCCAGTGTACAACCGAGTGAATGTGTTACTGCCAAGGAGCATAGGAACTTCCTATGCTCTTCTGCTCAATCTGGTGGTGGTAATGGCCTGCTGGATGGAGGATTTATAGATCAGCCCCAGGGATGGATTTCCCACAAGGCCACGGGGTGGCAGGGAGTAAAGGGGCGGGGGCAGTTTTTGGGGAACCTGGCCTTGGAGGAGCAGAGAGAGTAAATCCAGCCCTGATCAGCCCTATAGACTGCCTTTTACTTACCTCTGATCAGTAGGCCACATGGTCCAAGAGCTGGGACCTACACCAGGTGGCACTTTGATCTTCTTCTGAAACATCACAGGCAGCATGGCTCAGCGGATACAAAACTTTTTTCCATAGGCCCTAATGGAAAAGCTGTCTATATGCAAACCTGCAGATTGTTGGCTTTTCCAGTAAGGCCTATGGTGAAAAGGCCTTGAATGATTACTGCATGGTCCCGCTAGTACTGAGCATGAATGTGAACACAAATAAATGGATTACAGCAATGAAAATGATATCCCTTTGTAATGGAAGGGCGGAAGTAGCTATAAACTCGGGGCAGTGATTTGACCGCTATGGGATCTGTAAGATACAAGGAGCCAGCACCAATATATTATATAAGGCTTTACAGAGTGTATAGAACCACAGCAGTCCATGCTGCCAAGGGAGCAAATAGTCTAATGCCCTAATTGTAGTCATACAAGTGCACATTCTAAGGCCATGAATCAGTATAATTATGGGTTGTGGGAGGAAACCAGTTGCCCCCCACTGGATACACACAAAATGCAAAATAAAAATTCTTAAATATTGTCTTTCTGGTGTGATATAAACTAAAGACTTCACCATGTATGCCGACAGTGTGGGATTTAACTCTCTGGTATCCTCCACAAACTGATATATCAGTTAGGCTATGTTCAAATGGGCTATTGAAAGGGACCCTTGGTTTGTGGTTTTGACTCCTTCTAAGTGAGTCTAGAGTTTATGGATTGTATTATCATTATTATTATTATTATTACTATTATTTATATAGCACCAACAATATACGCAGCAATTTAGATACTGTACATTCACATCAGTCTGGAGCTTACAGTCTCAAGTTCCCTAACTCACATGCATACTAGGGCTGGCTTAGACAGGAGTCAATTAACCTACCGGCCTGTCTTTGGAATGTGGAGGAAACAAGGGTAAAACTACAAAAGCACCGGGAAAGCATGTAAACTCAATGGAGATCGTGCCCTTGGATTCGAACCAAGGACCCCCAATGCTATAAGAAACCACTACTAACCACTGCATTGCCCATAGTAGGAGTGGTTTTGGATTGTTACCCCTGGGCATTGGTACACACTTAGGTCCCTTGGTGGCCTGCCTTCATAAGAACCTTTGGCGAACACTGCTCTAATAACATGAAAGCACCACTTCATCCAATTCTTGTTTGAGCATAGACCTTTAGGTGCACCTTGCCTTTAACAAGTGTGTAGGAAATAAATCATGACTTCTATAAATGGAGAATTGGAGAAAGAAAAAGTGAAGGCCTCTGGGTTTCTTCAGGGCTTTTCCTCAGACTCATCATGCACAATAATTGTCTTATGTGTACATAGATTAGGCCATATTGTCAGCTCACACTTCACCAACCAAAGCACATTTTTTATCTTTATAAAGTATTTAGAAGGACCATTGTCGCCGGGGTAATTTACAGACAGACTATAAGAACGCTTGGCATTTTTATTTCGCTTATTTTCAGTGTAATCTGTTTCATTGTTGAGTTATTCTTTATTAGGTGTCAACCCCTAAAACAATTTTGCTTCATTAACTATTTAAAATAAACCAGGATAAGTCGCATTTTATGTCAAAGAATGAAATAGATGACAGGAAGCAATGTGTTTCCCACAAACCAGACTGCTCACTTCAAAACCATTAAAAATTAAAGAGACTTCTGAGGTGGCTGTTTTTTTTGTGCGCCAGTGACATTTTGTCTGAAAGCCCTTATAAGCAATTTCAACTAGCCTTTGCGCACTGTAAGCTCCCTATTTACAACATTGTCCTTTAGAATTTTTACACTGCACAAAAAGAAAAAAAAGTTGACATATTTACAAACGGTTTTCACAGGGTTCCAGTTGAAGAAGTGCCCAGTAAGAAAGTTTGCTGAGATTCTGTAAAGTATTGTTGAGCCTAAAATTTTGTATTACTCCATAGCGGACAATCAGTCTGTCGGGAACTGTCCTCTTCCAGTGAAGATTCGAATCTGGTTTGTTGTAGTGAGGGCACTACAGACAGTGCTTATTTTATACTTTTTATGAGGCCAGTTCATCTTTACAGTTGCGGGTAGTATTTAGTGTAAAACCTAATGGACATGCATTCAATTCATTTGTTACAGTTTATTAGGTTTAGACATACGTGTACAGAAATTTTAATCATTTTAGGCTTATATAAGACTTAAAGCAGTCATAAAAACTGGGTGAAGTTGTGTAAATAATTGGAAATGTTTCATTAAACAGCAAGCCCACCTAAAACGAATATTATAATTATAGTTAATAACTAATCGGCTTAGCCAACCCTTGGCTTTCTTTTATGTCTTGGATGCTCCAATAGTGATATAATTTCTGACTTTCTGTGCATCTGGGGGTTTCAGGCATTCCCGCCTAACTTGGTGGTGTTTCACTCTCCTGTTGCAATTTCCATAATGTAAAATGAATAGGATGTGCAGCAGGGAAATAGGGAGCCCCTCATAATCGTCACAGCAGATGTGTAGACCTCAGAGATCTCACCAATAGGGTTGACCTTCAGGTTTAAGTCAACCATGAGTTAGACCCGAACTCAGGTAGTTTCCAGTTTGGAAACTACTTTTGCAGCACACTAATGTGGCTATATGCCACTATTGCAACCAGTTACCAACCATACACTGCCTGGCCTTTGAACTGTGGTCAGGTGGCTTGGAAGGTCCAATAAAAGGGGGTTTCTTATAGGGCAGTCCCCTCCTTATAAAACGCAGGGCTCCCAGCAGCCTTTTGTTAGTTTGTGTAAATGCTTGGAATAGATAGGGATAGCTGACAGAGTGTTGTCTGCAGTGAGATATAGTTGCTGTTATACAGTGCTGCTAACAACCTTCAAACCTGTGTCCAGGCTGGACCTCTGGTCCGAGTTTGCACCTACAGCCAGTCTGCTGTCAGTGGGCAGTTTTGTAACAGAGGGATGAATCCGCCTGTCCATTGACACAGTTGACTGGCTCACTTTTATAAAAAATGTTGTGACCACCCTGTCTTTTTGCCTAGTTTTTTCCTAGAACAGTGAAATGTGCTTCATTTTTCTTTAACATGGTGTGTAAGAAAAAAACAGTGTTATATGCTGATTCATTTTTTTGGGGTTCATATTTACACACAGAAGTCCCATCCTCCCTTTACCTGCATCTCCATGTACTAACAGTATCCATGTCTTCTTGCAGGTCGTTGTATCTACTACCATAAATGTGGATGGACATGTGCTAGCAGTGTCAGATAATATGTTTGTACATAATAATTCCAAGCACGGAAGAAGAGCACGCAGGTTGGATCCTTCGGATGGGACACCATCCTATCTGGAACATGGTAAAATTTTATTATTTCTTATATCATTAATGCATTTATCATTTGTTTGGTAGACACTTGCGACAGACCAATTGGAGGCTCCATGCTGCTAGTATAACCAAAAAGCCAATATCCCGATCTATATTAGCGCTCAGCACTTAGTGTTCTTTTTAGGTTTAACTCTGGTTTAAGCAAATATTGTCAAAATACAAGAGGCATGTGCATGTTTTTATTTCTTGCAGATGAGTGCAGTAGTCCACAGTGAAACTTTGAATATGTAGGAGCTTCCTTTAATAAGGACCAGTCACTGCTGCTTATTGTGCAGGGTGACTGGTCTTGTATCCACCCCCACTCCCCACCAGTTATCTGCAGACAGCCTGTAGTGGATGGGTCCGCTGGTTCCCTCTGCTCTCTGCACAAACTATATGTAGCACAGTGATGACATCATTACTACATTTATAAGGAAATAACTGGGTTAGCAAAGCATTTCTTACTCAAAAGGTGGATTTATATTTTTTGTGGCTATTGAGGAATATATTTAATTACATTTTTTGCCCGGAGTTCAGCTTTAAAGTGACACTGAACTCAGGAGTTAAATCTTAAAAATGCATTCAAGTACCTCAACTATTAACAAGAATGTAGCTTATTTGTGTATCACTCGGCTGTAGACCCTCAAATCATCTCTGAAGTCTTGTTGCCACTGTACTTCCTTCCGGAGGGTGGCTACCTTTGTTCCCCATGGTCCCTGCGTGTGTGCTGTAAAGTAGCCGCTCCAAGTTCATTCCTATGATGTACTAAAATCTCAATACAAATTAGTAAACGAAACGTGAGATTGTATTCCATCACAGGAGTGAGCTTGGAGCGGCGGCTACTTTACAACACACAAAGGGACCATGGGGAACAAAGGTAGCCACCCTCCGGAAGGAAGTACAGTGGCAACAAGACTTCAGAGATGATTTGAGGGTCTACAGCCGAGTGATACACAAATAAAATACATCTTTGTTAATAGTTAAGGTACTTGAATGCATTTTTAAGGTTTAACTCCTGTGTTAAGTGTCACTTTAAGGCTTGTTGGGAAAACTCCCAGCTGGACTTAATTTTTCCTTAAGTTAGGATTTTATTTAAAAAAAGAATAAATAAATACTTTGACTGGCTGCCACCAGCAACTCCCTTGCCTGACATTTTCCCCATTAAAAACACTCAAACATCAGGTGTGTGGACATCTATTTGCAGAGATGTCCACTTTTTGTTACCCCATTGTATTGTGTTTAGGACAAAACTGGTGAGAGTATGAATTCAGCGCTGAAGGTGTTTGAAAGTGATAATTAAATGGCAACGATTTATATGAATAATTTGCACCTACCCCCTTCATACCTTCATACCCTTAGGCTCTAGTATTAAATGTCTGTGTAAAAATATGATCTTGCTCGGCCAGAGATTAATAGAGAACCCAGTTGGCATATTTAAGCCACATCAGATTTTTCATAATAACATATAACAGTTTTACCTCTAGGGTGGCTCAGCCCCCAAAGCTGTCAATCAATAGTTAAAAATTTGAATAGGCTTGGCAGACAGTTGTTGCCATTCATTGCCAATATGGTCTCCCTGCCAGTGCCCAGGACGTTTGATGCATACACTAGGGCCAATTGTCTGCCAGGTTGTCTAGTCCAAGATTGTACTGCATTGAAGCTGGTCTAAAAGAAAAAACCAGAATGGGCAGCTTGTGGGCATATTCATGCCCTTATTTAATAGGAAAACTCTAGATGATAAATGTAGTTAAATTTAATTTATTTGGTACATGTTTCCAGCAATACATTATTTAGAATATATGCATATATGGTATGCCTGGAGTTCAGCTGTTATGATTCAATACAGCCAAACTGGCTTTTCTGTTTTTGGCACCATTAAAGGATCATTTAGGGATGAGCAGGGTAGTTGAAAAGGAACTTAGAAGAAAAGTCACCAAAACTCAGCCATTCAAGATGCAAATATAATCTTGTTTATTGTGATTATGTCACATACTGTAAGTATTTATGCCGACGTTCCAGGACCACATAGGGTCTCTTTCTCAAGGTGACATAGTGACCAAGGAGCTAGGAAAAGGAGCTTTTTTTAAGCCTCAAAAGCCATTTAAAGCACACTGCACACTTTAAAGAAAACACCAAAAAACACCTTTATTTTACCTTAACCAAAATGGCAACATTTTGCCAAAATCACATGATTGACATTAAATTTCACTCACAATTTTCCTCATCCCAGCTAACAGTTTGCAATATTTTTGCGGACTTTTGTTGGCAAGAACTTGTTCTTGAGTTCCTGTGTCCGCCTACCTGCTCTATCCATTGCAAGTGGGTCCCACTCTACCTTCTGGTTGCTTTATCTCTATTTTGATTATGGAAAATAAAAAAGGAGGGGTTGGGAACACCAAAATCATGGCAGGGAGGTCTCACCATTGAGGACCAAGCAAATGGTGACATATAAAAGGGTTTTAAAGGCAAAATTCAGCAAATACAAAAGTGCATTAACAACTATATATATACTGTATATATATGTATACATACTGTATATATTCTGTACAGTATATATATTCACATACCCAAGAGAATAAACCACAAGCTTAACAGAAATGCAGGGAAGAGACACAGCAAAAAAGAGGAACTGGCAATTAAACCCATTCTCAAGGCAAAGAGATATGGCCTTTGGCTGTCCGCAAAACAGCTGCCTTTGTGTGGGTGACAGGTACACTTTAATAAACCTATACAATGCCTCGCTCTGTTATTAGCGTTACACTGCGTACATCGGCATGAATACAATAACAATAAAGAAAGCCATACAGCTCATTTACACCCAGCGTAGCATCAGTTTCTCATCCTGGTCCCTAGTGACTAAAGGCTTTAGTCTCAGACTGGGATAGCTCAGGACCCCTCAGTGCTGTCGGCTGCAGCACATTATTATTCAATGATTGAATATGCTACAAGGAAAAGCGGGGAAGTTGTCACCCTGACAGCATTCTGGGGAGAAGTGACTAAATTACTTTATGTACCATTAGTGCTAGCAGCTACGCCGAACTCTCATCCAGTGTTTATGCAAATGCAAGTGAGCACACTCAAGAGGTCCTGGCAGGCAAAGTGGAGACAGACAAGATGTTAAATGCTGCTCTCTTTTAAATGGCCGCTTCAATTTATTTCTGTGCCTTGCGCTCGAGCCTTACTCTATGCGTTCGATGTCAATTTGTTTACATCAAGCAAATCTTTTCTGGTGCCATTAAAGATCCCTTTCAAGAGATGGACAAAGAGAACGAAATTAGTTAAATGAAAATAAAATATTGCATAATAATATTATGCATTTTGAATTTCAGCTAGCAGGTTGGGCTATAAGCCCATTTTTACTTTCCAGCTTCACGTTACCTCCTGTTGTTTACAGAGCACAGTAGCTCAAGCTGAAATGTATACTCATAAAAGTAAGTGTGTCAGTACCTGCATATGGCTCTGTCCAAAATGACAGAAACCTGCCTAAAAAGGTATGTTCCGCTGCTCTGTTCTCTGCTCAGGTAACCATTGTTTAGTTTTTATGCATTAGCACAGATTTAAAGCCTGTGCTGACAGATTCTGGGCTTGATGGCATCAATCTGACATCAGTTTGCGGCACTTCTAAAATCATTCTGAATTCTTTGACAGGTTGAATTGAACAAAAGCCCATCGACACAGACCCTAATACCTTACTCTATGGTTCCTCAACAGATGGTGGCCCAGCCCTCTACTCTCCAGTGCTGGAATGTGGAGGGGTGGCAGCACCCATCCTGAGGATGTGGTGGCTGAAGTGCAGATGTAATAACATCAGTGCAGCACACAATTTGTAATTTCCGAGCACCCTCACAAACCGTATGTTTGTTCTCAACTCTGTGCCATGTCCCTCCACTGTATTATGCTGATTTTCAGTAGAGCAATAGAAATAGTCCACCCCAGGCACTGAAAGCTCCTGTTGCACCAAAACTTCACTTTCATATACATATTGACGCACATAATTGCATTACGAGACACTTTGGGGATCATTTATAAAGCATCTGCCCACGCAATCTACAGCCAATCTGATTTTCCATAATTTTAAAAATTTCTCTAATGTGCAACCATGGCAACAGTACTTTTTGTAAAGGATGTGCTAAATATCCCATCTCTCTTATGATTATTATTATTATTAGTATTCAGGATTTATATAGAGCCAACAGTTTGTGCAGTGCAATATAAAGAGGACATTACAGTTACAATACAAATCAAGACAAGATGGTCAGGATGTGATTGGCTTAGTATAGGAGCTTGTATGGTGCTTTAGGTGAAATTATAGGCATTCTTTGCAAATGGACTATTTAACAATGGTGGGATAGTTTTAGAATATTTAGATGTAAAGGGATACTGGGAGGCTGCAGCTTTTTTTATTGCAACTCTAAGACTGATCATGTGATAATAGTGAAGGCAGACCGCTCCACTTCCCAGTTGGTTTTGGAAAATGCTGGCAAAGTTTACATCAGTATTTACAGAACATAAGCAGGTACAAAAACAAAAAAAAGTGTGCAAAAATCATTGTAAGGAAAATATAGTTCACCTGGAGACAACTTTTATCCTCAATAACACGCCTCCTCAATATGCAAATGAGCTACACAGGTAAACTTGACAACCAGAATCATTACGTTCTTTTTGTTGTGGCTTTCCTCTAGGGAGGAGAAGGAAGAAAATATGTAAATTCCAGCATCTATAGGACATGTTTTTTTCTTTTAAGCGCAGATCTGTTATTTTTTCTTTTTACTACAGATCATTCATTTGTTACATTCACAGCGCCATCTAGGGACAGAAGCAAAGATTTTCACACCTAGGGGAACAAGGGATGCCAAGATTCATCATTTTTGAATGCCTTAAAGGGTAATTGACAAAGCTGTGGCTTTGGCTCGCATTGGTTGCAGGAGACCCATCGGTTCAGTCGGACCGAAGGGCTGCTGTACTGGCTATTTACTATAGCCCATACAACAG